GAGTGTCCTGCCGGGCAGCTGCCGCATGGGATCCTTGCCCAGAACGGCTGGGGATCCCTGGGCTGGTTTTCCCCCTGTAGCTGTAAGCGTGTCTGTGCTCAAGTGGACCCACAGCCTGTGTAGCTCAGTGCTGTCTCCAGAGCCACCCACTGGTGGACATGCAGGAGGAGTGGGAACCAGCATGTGCCTTCCTGTCCCTGCTTCCAGCTGCTTTCCCTGCAGGGAATTTCCTGAGCCTGCTTTGGTTTTCCTACTCTAGGGTAACTCCCAGGGGATCTGTGAGTACTTATGTAATCTGCCTTTGAACCCATGTTAACTTCTTGTATCTGCAGCACCGTCTTGGCTTCTCTCTAAGCTGCTTTCCTCATCCTTGTTATTCCCCCTTCTGGGGAATTCTAGCAAATACATGGTGGAAAATTAAGTGCTGGTCCCTATTGGGAATTGAGTCCAAGAAGATCTTGGCTATTGAGAACTGCTACTGAGGTTTTCTGAAGCAAACCCTGTGTGTGGTTTGGGACCCTGCATTTCCATGTGCTTTATGCAAGCAGTCACTGAGAGCACTTAAACTGCTTCATGGGCAAGACGTGATGGTCCACAGGGAGCTGCTGAAGCTGGCCTGCCTCTTTGCTCTCTGTTTCCTTTCTGCATATTGCAATCCACTCCTGCATGAGCAGTTGGTGATGGGGAAGAAGTCACACTGGGTTTTGTTTAAGCTTCAGTCATTACCCATGGAGACTGATGTGCCTCAATGTGTGGTATAACTGACCGTCCCCAGAGAGGCACAATGTACAGCACTGCCCAAATAGCCTTTTCACTCCGTCCTTTCTCTCCAGGCCGCGGCAGGACCCGATGAGGTTCGGGAGGTAAGTGGTGCTGGGGATGGATGCAGGCGGGGATGCTGCTTCTCGCTTTCCATGCATCAGTCTCATGTGCACCTTCCTCTCTTGAAGGAGGCGATCGAAGGGCCGAGGTAAGAGAAGACAAAACAAGAAGAGACGTAAAGACTGTGAACTGTAAGTGAGCGGGGGCAGGCATGGGCAGTGTCTCTTGGGTTGGAGTACATGGTTATGTATTTATGTCTTCAACTGATGCTGTGAATAGACCTTCCACTGAAGGCTCAACATGTGCTCAAAACTACCCATTTTTGGGGATGGTTGCACTGGATAATTTGATAATATCTAGATAAATTACCATCACAGACCACTCTTATTAATCCATTAATTTCCAGTTTCAGCCTCATCTTGCTGCCAGCCTTGTCTTTACTGCAGTCCTTGGCTAGCCGTTGCTTGGGTTACTCTGTCCTTTCCGGCCCTGTATTTAGCTGACCCTTGCGAGCCTCTCGGTGCAGCAGTCTATCCCGGACTTATGTTGCTGTGGACACTTCTGGGGTATAGAGCCTGCAGCCAGTGCTTTCCTGCTGTGTTTTCCCTGCTGTGTGATCCTTGCTGCTCAGGGCTCAGCCAGCACCTACATCCCAGCATGCTGGGCCTGACACAGCCCTGTCACCTTCTCCCTGCTCCGTGAGCCCTGGGGTAGGGCACCGAGGAGCCTTGGTGGCAGAGGCCGGCCCGGGGGGTGCTTGCAGCCAGGGTGAGCGTGGGCCTGTCTGCGGTGTGCAGCCCCGGCGCTCACACCGCGCTCTTCTCCCCGCAGATGCGGCCTGCCGCGCAGGTAGCCTCCGCTGCGCCCGCGGCCCCGCGCCCGCCGCCGGCGTGTGAGCCGGTCCCGCCGCTGCCCAGCGCGTCGGACCTTCGAAGCTGCGCCCCGCTGCGCAGCCGGGCAGCGCCGGCCGCCCCTGGGAGCTGCCGGTGGGAAGCACCGCCGGACTCGGCTCGCTCCGGCAGGAGCGCAGCCAAGGACTCTCCCTTGCCCCCACGTGCGCTGGTCGCGGCAGGGACAGGAGGAAGGCTCGCCGGGTCTGGGGCGAGGATGAGGAGCTGCAGGAGCATGTCTGTGCTCAAGGGCGCTGGGGGCGGGCTGGGGAGGGCGCCAGGTGAGCCAGGGTGCCGGCCCCGCGGGCGGCAGTGGCAGCAGAGCTGCTGCACAGCTGGGGAGGAAGGAAACTTGGGCCAGGCACAGCTGTGTCTGCCGCAGCCTTGGCATGGGGCAGGCCTGGGAGGGGACGTGGCCTGGGAAGCCCTCTTGGTGGGGATGGCAGGAAACGGGGAGTGCTGGGGCCCTTCTGTGCTGACAGCCACGTCCCAGCCTTGCTGTTCTCAATAAAAGCTGGATGTCAGAGCCAGGAGCTGGCAGCCTGAGCAATCCCTCTCCTTGCTGGCAGATGCACTGCTCTTTTCTGCCAGCTCCTGGTCAATCCTGGTCTGCAGACGCTTCACTGTGCCCCGAGGGCTGGCCCCAAAGCGGAGACCTGCAGTACCCAAGAGGCTGCTCGTGGGCTGACATCTAGAGCTAGGGCAAGCAGTGAGACAGGACAGAGCCCCTGCCCAGCCTGGAGCTTTGGGGGAGCCTGGCAGTGCCTTGGGGCATTGGTGTCATACCTGTTCACCAGTCCCTTCCTTCTCTGACCCCAGTTTGAATAATTAGCTGAGCGCTGGTCTCAGCTTGTTTTCCTTTGTTCTCATCTTCTTCCTCCTTTCAGGCACTCCCATTTCCATTCGCCTTCCCCTTCATCTCTGCTCCTGCACACTGGGCCTGGGCTCCTACCATGAGGTTCTTCCATCCCTCTTCTTGGTAGTTGGTTTTGAGCTTGGGGCTGCCTGTGGGCCTCTCCAAGAAACACCTCACCAAGGTTCCTCCGCGCACCCTCATTGCTCCTGTCTGCAAGGTCTGCCATGGGCCTGGTGTCCCTCCATCAGGTGTGGGGCTTTGCCCCAGGTGAGAGGCACTTCCCCGGGGCTGGGGTGACCTACATGGCTGCGCCAGGATGGGGGTAGTCCCAGCCCTTGTTTCTGCCTTTCTTCGGCCCTGGGGCTGCAGCACGAGGCTGTGGGGCTGGCCAGGCCCTTGCTGGGCTGCCTGTTGTGGGTGTGGGCACCCCGTGCCCTCACCACACAGCGTGGCCTGTACGCGGGGCGCAGGGCAGGCCTGCCCCGGGCCTCTCCATGCCCTCCTGGCGCTCATTTACACACCCTGCTGGGGCAGAGCTTCCCCGTGACGCGCTCGGCCGTGACAACAGTGCGGGCCGTGCCCGTCGCGGGACAGCCTGCGGGCTGGCCACGGGCACGGCCTGCTCCGTGCCCACGCGCTCCGGGCCTGCGGCTCCCACGCGAGCGGGGCCCTTCCTGAGGCAGCTCCCTGTTCTGCACGGGCTCCGGCCCGCTGGGCGGGCTCCGGCCCCCCGTGCTCCGCTTCAGCCTCACTGGGAGCACGATGAGAGCGGTGCCCGGTGCTCGAGGGGCACCCGTGTTCATGCAGGGCCGCGGTGGTGGTTTCTGCCTTGGTTTTATTCTGCAAGAGTTACCATGATCATATTAAATCTTTCAAATGGAATCCACTCAAAAACAAAGGTGTTAATTAAAAAAAAAATGCCAAGAGTGCTTATTAGAATACTTTTTTTTTTTTTTTTTTTTAAGAGCTCAATGGCATTTCCTAATAACACCCAATGCTCAGCATAGTCTTCTTGGCTATTTCTCATCACTGAGAACTGTTGGGCAAGCACACAGTGCCAGCACAGCCCAGGCCCTGCCTTACACCGTTATCCAGTGTTGTCCCCTTCCTTGCACAGTGCTGGAGCTGCCTTCGTGTCGCGCGTGTGGCCTTGGCTCCTGCTTGTCCCTCAGCAGCTGGAGCTGCAGAGCAGTGCAAGCCTGAGGAGCAAGTTGTGGGGGAGGACCATGGGTCCATGATGGAGAGGAAGAGATGGAAGAGAGGAGGAGGAAAGGCTGGTGCCAAAGGGATGGGGTCTGTCTCTGGGTGCCTGATGCAGCTCGGGGCCACTGCCACGTCCCTCAGAGCTGCAGCACTTGCAACCCTTGCAGCAGTTGTCACGAGCCCTGGGGGTGGCTGTGCCAGCCCCACGCAGGAAGGGCATGGAGCAGCCACGGGGCCTGGATGGTCACATCCCACCCCACGTTCCCTGGGATCTGCCTGTGCCTCCGTGCAGGGTGACTTGGTGGGCTGGTATCTCCCGCCTTAGGTGCATGAGTGACCCCAGCAGCCTGGGGGGCATCTCCTCTGCACTCACCGGACAGGCTGTGGCTCTTTACCAGGTGCTGGTTTAGACAAATCCTGCCCCTGCCAGTGTCTGAAATCCCCTTTCTCAGTGCTGAGGCCTGCAGAGCGCCGGTTCTCTCTCAAAGCCTCTTTATGCCCAATGCCTCCTCTGGGTTGCCCTGGGGCTGTGCACCCCCAGCCTGTACCCGGTGCCTGTGAGGTGGCACATGGCCGGATCCCTGTCTGCCGCTTCCAAATGCTGCTCCGTGTCCCTGTGTCCCTGCTCTGCGCTGGGCGGTAGGGGACAGAGCGTTCCCCTGATGGATCCAGGGTGAAGACAAGGAGCTGCGTCACCGCTGCCAAGTCACCCACGCATCTAGACCGCAGGAGAGCACTGAGGACGTGTGGCTGCTTTTGCCAGGGAACAGCACGTCCAGCAAAGCCCCTCTGCTCCCCAGCAGGGTTCAGCAGCAGCACCAGCAGCACCCAGCAGCAGACATGTGTGGGCACAGGGCCATGCACCTGGGTGCTCCAGAAGGCATAGGCATGCAGGCTAAGGGTCACCCCACTCGAGCCCCCCGGCAGTGCCCTCAGCGTTGGGTGGTGGTGGTGCAGACCCCGCAGCAAGGGGAACACAGAGCCTGAGGCTGCCCCAGCCAGGTGGATGTGCAGCACAGGGTGCAGGACGTGCTGGAAACCGCGCGTGGGCAGGAGGGACGTGGGTGTCTGGGAGGGACCGGGCTGGTGTGTGCGGCTCTCCTGCTGCAGCCCATAAGAGGAGCAGATGGGGCATTGAGGAGCAGCAGAGGCACCACCAGCACGACGTTTGGGGTCAGCGTCACCAGGTGTCACAGCTACCTCTGGCTCCAGGACTGTGCTCAGGAGACATGCACAAAGGCTTCACCAGCAAGGGGAACCCAATGAGTCTGAGCACCTTCCTGATGCTTCTTGTGACTCTGGGGCTGCTGCAGGCATCATCCACCCAGGTGAGGAGCATCTCCTTTCCCTGCTTCATCCCTTTTTCCTGTCTGAAGGAGAGGTTCCTGGGTGGTCCATGAGAACCCTCTCACTGCCCAGCCTGCAGTCTGTCCATCTGGGGCAGCTCCAGGGTGGCCATCACTGAGGAAAAATCATGGTAGGGCTTGAAACACAGGCCATTGCTTGAGCTATTGGATTATGGGGAGCTCTTCCAGGCCCACAGAGGAGCCAAGCCCTCTTGGGGGGTGCCCAGGTAACTTCCACCAAGAGGAGCTGTTGGCCCTGGGGAGGCGAGGCTGCCTGCAGCTGCTCCCCTGGCCAGTGCACCCCCGAGCAGAGTCCCACAGGCAACTGAGCAGCCGGTGCTCTCGAATGGACAGGGGAGATGGCAGGAGAGCATCGATAGCTGCCTCCTTACCTGCAGCAAGGGCGCACTGAGGCTCTCAGGGAAGCCCTGAGCGAGTCTGCAGGCGCCGAGCTGCAGGCAGCGTGTGCCCAGCCACCCAGCTGTGCCAGAGGCACTGCCCAGCGGGCAGGGGTATCCCCTGCCTGCACCGGGAGCTGCCTGGAAGACCCTCTCCTTCAGAGCTGAGGTGGGAAAGGAACGCGTTGGAAGAACTGCAGAGAGGGGCTGTAAAGACATCTCATCAAAATTGCTTGAGAACTGAATCTAATACCCATTTTTTTCCCCCTGTATTAGATCCCTGTATGGATCTAATACTCAATTATCTCCTTTCTCCCAGCCTTGTGTTCAAGAGTAGAGACTGATGTCAGAATATAATAAATACCAGCCAGTTTTATTCTGCTTTGGAGGCAAACAGAGACATGAAATGTGGGTCTTCCAGCTCTGTGGAGGGACTCAGCCTGAATGAAAAGGGGTGTAGGAAGACATATGGGGCCGCTTTGCCTGGATGGCCTGGTGCCAAAGCAGGGAGGTTGGGAAGGGTGCTCTCCTGGGAGGAGGAATGTCCCCTGTCAGCAAAGGGACAACCTAAAGCACCTTGCGGAGCCAGGACCCCTCCTCCTTCCAGGAGTGTCCCATGGGACACCACCCTCTCCTGCTGGTCATGATGTGGGGGTCAGGATGGGGTGTTGGGGAGGCCGAGCTGCACCCAGGGCTCTCCCTGCCCTCCAGCCACTCACTGCTCTGTGTTTCCATCCCCAGCAGGAGGCCGAGCCTCGGGACGCGGCTGCTGCTTTGGGCGAGCAGGGTGAGTCCTGAGCTGCCCGTGACCAGGCCCCTGTGCCCTGCGAGCCCACAGTGAAGCCACCCCAGCACTGGCGGCACGTGCGGTGGCACCTGGGGGTGGCTCCTCCACCTCAGGGGGCTCCAGAGCCTGTCTAAGCTTCCAACTGCTTGGTGAAAGAGGAAGCCTCCGCCCAGGGCCAGGTTTATCCATGTGGGTGGGTGAAAAATAGCCCTGCTGCTCACTCACTGTCCTGACTGGGACGTAGCTGTTGAGACAGGACAGGAAGGAGCAGCTGGACACAGACGTGCCAGCTGGGGAGGCACCTGGAAGCCTTCCAGTCTGGGCCTGATGTTGATGAGGGGGAGAGCAGGGCTGGCCAGCGCCAGCGTGTTCCCCTGCATTTCTTCCAGATGTGTCTTTTCTTGAGGTTTTCAAAAGCAGCTACTGTCAGCCCTTCCTCACGACTGTGGATGTTTACTCTGAGTACCCCGACGAGGCCAGTTCTGTCTTCAAACCCTCTTGCGTGGCCGTGCGGCGCTGCGGAGGCTGCTGTGGGGACGCGAGGAAGTTCTGCGCGCCCGTGGAGATGGAGATGGTCACCATGAAGGTAAGGCCAGGCTCCTCGGGGCCTCTTGTGGCATGGTGGGGGGAACCTGCTCACTGCCAGGGGCACGTTGGTGGCTTTGTAAAGGGGACGGGGGAGACTCCGTCCCAAGGCCGGTGGTGGTAAGAACAGCACCACGCTGATCTCTGTGGACAGGCAGCAAAGCCTGCAGCCCTGGAGCTATCAAGTGACTTGTCCTTCTCCTGGTGCACAGCCCTTGAGCACAAGGGCTGCCTCACGCCACCGGGTTATCAGTGTGTGAGGGCTCTCTGTGTCTCCCAGCTCTACAGGGCAAAGGTCTGTTTAAAAAAGCTTAAAGTAAAGAGCCAGAGCTACAGCAAGAAGGTTAGGAAAGAGGTGTATAGGGAAGATGAAACACAAACCGGATTCCAGGTTGCATTAGAACCAAATCTTGTTATTCTGGGGTGGTATTCCAGAAATGGTGACAAGGAGATCTGTCTAGAGGGACATCTGGCTTTCCCAATCCTGGGATGCTGGCTGAGCATTGCCTCTACTCCTCCTGCTTCTTCTAGCCATGTTGGTCAAGGTTTCCTGGGCATCTTAGTGCATAGGGATGAAAGTTGTGCTTGTTTCAGTGAGCAACATCTATGGCGTCCAGTGAGTTCTGAGTTCCTGCCAGCCCTCATGCAGGTATTTTAGACTGATTGTGAGAAAAAAAAAAATAGCAGCTTTCACTCAGCTCCCCATTATCAGTATTTGTTGGTTGTGCTTTGGAAGTTCCCTCCCCACCACAAAGGCGATAAGTCCTTCAGCAGGTTGGTCTAATAATAATCCTAGAATTTAACATCCTCCAGGTAGAACAGCCATAGGAAACTCGAAGCACAGAGTTTAATGGCCACTGTGCCTCAGAAGTCGTGCCTGATATTTATCTTCTCCCCTCATGAGGCTCCTCCTCAGAGGCCGGTCCTTTGGGGTACCAAAGGCTGCTGACTCTGGCTCCCTCCGCTCCGTGTTTCCCCTCCTTATCCCATCCACGTGCAGCTACGCCTCGGGCCCTTGCCAGTTCAAACGCAGAGGCTGATGTGGCAGGGATGCTGTGGCCCAAAGCAGAAACCCTGCTAGAGCAGAGAGCAGAGGTGCCATTCGGCTTTGTCCAAAATCATCCCTGCATCCCAGCAAAAAGGCTGGCCCTGCTTCCCCTCCAGCTCGTGAAGATTTCTCCGGGGATCAGGAAGAGTTCCATGGTCAAGATGGACTTCCTGGCGCACAAGCAGTGTGAATGCAGGTAGGGATGCGCCGTGCTCTGCCCCACGGCTTTGCTCTGCCCCACGGCTGCCCGTGCCTGCCACCACAGAGCTGCCTCCCCTCCCTCTCACCCCATCCTGGGCTCCTGTGGGAGCTGCTCTCAGTGCTCATGGTTCCCTGTTACCTGTGACTGTGAGGATTAAGTGAACCCAGCGTTTCCCAAATCCAGCCCCACTCACCTCCGCAAAGCCCCACTCCGCAGCGAGCCCTAGGTGGTCCCTGCAGACTCCCAGAATGAACAGCCGCTTCCTTGGGCTGTGCCTATGTTCATGGAAACACTGACCTGCCAAATCACTGGTGTCCGGTATCTCCCTTCACTTCCCCAGGACACACTGGTTTAACACAAGCAATAAAACTCTTTAAATACATATTTATTTGACAATAAAGTCACTTAAGCTTTGTTCCCCTCTCTGTTGGGTCTGTAGACTTCCCTTCCTCTAGCACCATTACCCCTACTACCCAAACTTTACAGGTCCCTAAAGCAGCAGTTTTTATTTTATTTTAACTGTGCTCCTATTGCTTCCAGGCCTAGAGCGATCAGCTGAAGTCACAAAGGTGAGTTGCATTAGCAGAGTCTCTACTTTTATCCAGGGCCTTGGCTCAATTCCTGCCTGTTCAGAATTTTCTCCCCAGGGAGCAGAGCATGGGCTTTTGTACGAGTAGAAAGGCCCTAGACACTGTGAAAAACAAGCCTCTGTTAGGTTAATATCGGTTGAATAAATGGCAAAAGCGTTTGCCATGTCTTTAAAGCTCAGCAACACTACGTTTGTCATTTCTGAGAAAAGGTATCTTGGGTTGCTTTGTGTGAAACACTTAAAAAACACTTAAAAAATGCTGTACCAGAGCCTGTTAGTGTCATGAGAGGGAAAAAAAAAACAAAGAAAGAAGTCTCGTATTTGGTTAGTGGGCTGCCTAACAAAATAAACCCAATTAAATGTTACCAGGACAGTCCCCTAAGCCAAGTTAGGCTGTTCCACTCCCAAGGAACCGGCGTTAGCAAGAACGGGAGCCTCGCTGGGCTGAGCAGGAGCCGCGGCTGCTCCTTCTCTGTTTGGTTGTGGACAGACTGGCCAGCTCTGACGGAGGGGAGCGAGCCGAGCCAGGGAATTCCCTGCCATGGGAGGCGGCAGGGTCTGCAGCAGCAGGACAGCGCCAAGGGGACGCTCCCTTCGGGCATCCTGCCTGGATCTGGACTCTCCAGTCTCGCCCGGGCTCCAGGGCCGTCTGGTTGCTCTAGTGAGGTCTGTCTCCCCAGGGAAGGCTGAGGGAGACAGACCTCAGAATCCGGGACACAGAACCTGTCAGAGTTAGTCCCACGGCAAGTCAGGACTTCCTCAGCTGCCTGCTGCTGCGTAACAGATATTAGTCTTTCTTAGGTCTGACGTGGTATCACTGTGATTTCATTCTACTTTTTCTTTCTTTACAGGTCCCTGTCACCTCTCCAAAATGGATGTTCTTTAAACCTGGACTGACCATTCCACAGATGCAGTAAATAAATTTGCCTGATCCATAACTGGTCAATCATTCCTGATTCAGCAAACCTCCTTTGCTAACAGTTGTGGTGACCTAGAGTGCCCCGGAGACCTGGCTTTCCAAGAAAGCAAACACATAAAACCAAAACAGAGCCCCCCAGGACCACGTGCTCCTGGGTTAAGCTGATGAGCTTTTCCATGTGAGCAGTACTAGCTAAGCTGGGCTCTGGAATACACTGTCATTTTGCCAGGGCTTAATGCACTTGTGCCAACGTTTTCTGCTCCATGTATTTGAATTAAGTTTGTAAAACCAAACGAGTCAGCAAGGGTTAGTAAAATGAGAGCCCAGGGTTAGAGGGGCACCAATATTCCTTTGCAACACGCAATGAAGAAAAGAAACTGCAATGTAAGAAAAGAATTTGCATTTATTAATTAAATGAAAGGGGGAAAGATATACGTAAAAGAGAGATCATAACCCAACTGCAATCCTGTTGCATTAAACAGGTTATCAGGGAACTGCCTGGAATAAGCAGGCCCTTTTAGGTGTAGGTGGATGAAGAGGTTATTTAAAACACAACTGATTATGTGTTACAGGAGAAAGTTAATAGGGCTGTAAACTCAGTACTTAAAGAATGAAAGCTTTAATTAAAGAAAATTTATGTTTAATAAGGATTATGATAAACCAAGAATACTAATGAGATATTAATATAATATTAATGAAAGTAATAAAGTGATAAAGAGACGATGGTGATAAATACACAGGTAAGATCTGAGGTAGATGTTATCTATGGTTATGGGCAGAAATAGTAATTTTGAAAAGTTCCTAAATGAGTTACAGGAAGGAAAGTTACAGTATTTTTCATTTACACCCTGTTTTCAAAGCGTGATGAGAAGCGGCTCCAGACTCTCCCGCGTGCCACAGAATACCATTAGGGACCGCCAAGAGCGCAGGATTCCTGCCGCTCGCTTCCAGCCAAGCCTCGCGCTGCCTACCGGGCACCGCGGGCGCGCGGGCCCGGCGTCGCGCGGGGTCCGCGTGGGGCCGCGCCGCGGGGCTGCGGCGCCTTT